AAAGAGCAATCATCCTCCGGGAGACAGTCACGCCACAATCCCTTCTCCCCATTCTCCTCCCGGGATTTTGGGCAGCCACGCACACACACCTGGCATGATTTTCAAGCTGTTGGGTACAGGACTTGAACCATAGTTGGCCATGTTGGAGTCCAGCGCCTTAACCACCATGCCACCTGCTGCCTGAGGCTTATTTCTTCAAAAAGCAATATTCTGACCAAAATACTCCCCTCGACTTCACATACTTGGGAGCGTAAAAACAGAAAGGGGCCACGGTTTTCACTCCCGTCATTGATAATCACTACGTTTCTGACGGTTTCCCGATGTGTACTTGCTGGAAAGATGTCAGGTGGGGGGCAGCAGGAGCTTTACCACGTATCATCCACACTCGCACTGGATAGTTATGGGTGTCAGTTTGACTAGCCTAAAGAATAGCTAGAAACCCAGTAAAGCATTACTGCGGGTGTGTCCGGGGTGCTTTCAGAAGGGATGAACAGTGAGTCTAGTATACTGGGTAGAGGTGAAGATCCGGGCAGGAGCTCGTCAGCAAGGACCCTGAGAGAACACACCCAAGACGGCCCGGTCTCTGAAGAACACAGACGACTTTGGTTGCCTGGAGCTTCAGGACTCAAGGCTCGTCCGCCTTCTGCCTCTGGATTTACACCAGCGCCCACCCTGGGTTCTCAGCTTCTGGCCTCAACAGTGAGGCCACAGGCTTCCCAGGGCCTAGCTTGCAGACAGCCCACGATGGGACTTCTCGTCGCCATTAATCATGTCAGGTGATTGCCCCAGTAAGCCCCTCTTCTCTCTATACACATAGCATAGGTCCGTATCCCTCAGGAACCCTGACTAATGTAATGCTGTTATTTTAGTGTCTTTCTTTCTAGACTTTTAAAAAATTATTTTAATTTTATTTATTATTAGTATTTTAATTTGCTCTAGGGCACATGTGTTCACCTGAGACAGAGAGAGAAAGGGAAAGTGAGAAAGTAAGCTGCCAGGTCCAGGACTCGAACCTCAGCTGGCCAGCACATGAACCACCATGCCGACTTTATTCTAATGCATGTTAGAGTTTATTTCTTTCTAGACTTGTTTCCAATGCATATTTTCATATAGTTATATTTATACTTTTTTAAAGTGTAGTGTTAT